ATTATTCTGAATCTGTCCTTCCTTTCAAACCTGTGTTCTATTGCTCTCTCACTAATCTTTCTCCTCTTTCTTCTTCACTTTCTCTTCTGTTCGAACCTGAAATTCCTTAGTGTCCAAGACTGATAGCAGTCTTGATCATCTTCAGTAGCAGTCCCAAAATCTTGCCTTGGTGGTCTCTTGCCACAATTTTGATTGGAACTTCATCATTATTGGTGGCCACCTTGCACTCACATAGAGTTATACCTGGAACCTAGGATTCTCATGGCTTGAAGAGTGGAATGGCATGCAGGAAATGAAAGAATGGAAACTGACTGGCTTCTATTTCCCACCTTCATGTGGTGCTACCTACAAGTAATTACAGAAAAATGAACCTCGAGCATGATGCATTTTCATTAATCTAGTGGAACTGATGTAGGACCAGCTCAGTTCTAGTCCTTAGAGAATGTGAATGGCCTTCTTGGATCAGAATTTTATGGCTGTTGATGGCTGTAATGGTTTCTTGAAGGAATAAGAGAAAAAATACCTGGAACCACTCACAAAGGTGCCTAGAATCACTCTAGAGCATGGGAATCACTCACCATAGCTAGCATGAACTGAAGAAAACTCAATAAACTTCATTGCCTTTGTGTAAAACGTCCATACATATTTATAGGCTCTAAACTCGTAATAATCCTAGAAGTCAAACTGTTAGACTCATAATAGTCTTATGAGTCAAACAATTAGACTCAATAATCCTAGTAGGACTCAAACTAGGTTGTCATATCCTATTTCAATTCAAAGAAGACTCAATAACTCTAAAATCCCACTTATGCAATGACTGAAATTTTAAATATAAACAAACTATTACTATACAAATTAAACCCTATCAATGGACCCCACAGAAAATTGAAAAATGACAAAAATACCGCTACTGTCCAAAAATACAGAAATACATAAAATTTCATAAAATTCCAATTTTGACTCTTCAGCTCCTGCATCAGGAACCCTTTACTACATGGGCAGATAGAATATCTTAATATTCTAAAAAGGCCTTTTTGTATCATAATATGCATCATCTTTCTCTCCTTGGAGGCATCCAATAGAATTGAATCTGTATATAGAAGATTAGATGAAAATGGATATGGCACTGAACAGAACAGGATTCATGTGTCCAAACCCCATATAGTTGAGACAAAGCTTAGATGATGATGATGTTGATGATGATTGGCATGGTTCATGCACAAAGGATGACATAATATTTATTATTTGATTATTCATGATTGGCATGTAGCTGACCCCATATAGTTGAGATAATGCATGGATGATGATGATACCCCACTTATTTGGAGGACAGATGGGAGGGAATATAATGCTTAGAACTACAAAATCTTCCTTATAAATGCTTTCTCTAAGTGGACTGTTATTTATTTTATTTCAGAGAATGATTTATACATAGACAAGTATAAGTGTATGAAAATCACATGGGTGATAGGTCCATTTTCAGTTAGCCAGTATAAGTGGATCCTCTAAAAGCTAAGAGTTATTCATTGTGCACTTCTGGCTTTTTTAAAATGATGATGGGCATCTTGTTTTGTTATTATAAGGTTAATGTCGTGTTTCTTACTCTGTTTATCTTGAACAGCGCTACCATGCTTACTTCATGGATGAGATTGACTCATGGGTTGTCATTTCTGCAGGTTTGTCATCTTATTCCTGGTTCATGTTCTTTAATAGTCAATTATATATTTATTTATAAAAAACAGTTAATTACATATATTATGTTGTGGACCATGATTATGGTATATCTTTTAAGTTTAAATGGTTTTGTTCTCTTTTAGGGGCTCCACTCCATGAATGTTTTCTATCAAAATTATCATCTGTTGAATTCATTATCCATATGTGCCAAGCTGGTTACTCTGTATTTTTACAATCAAAGTATTTCATTTGACTGTTAAAATAGCTGAATCATCATCATCAACCATGCCTTATCCCAAATATATTGGTGTCGGATACACAAATCCTGTCTTGTCAATCTATTCTATTTAAAGCCATATCCACTGTTAAATTATTAGTGCTTAAATCATTTCTTACTACTTCTACCTATGTCATTTTTTGTCTACCCTGAGCTCTTCTAGCCCCTCCAATGTGTAACAAACCACTTATTCTAACTGGAACAATTGGTGGTCTTCTATGCACGTCCCCAAAACATCTTAATCTACTCTCTCTCATTTTATCACCTATTGAAGCTACTCCTAGGTTCCTACAGTTCACCCATCTTAACATTGCATTTCTGCCACATTCATTTTCTGGACATGTTTCTTGACTGCCCAACACTCTGCTCCATATAACATAGCTGACCTCATAACTGTTTATTGAATTTTTCTTTTAATCTAAGTGGTATTCACCTATCACATAAAAGTCCAGATGCACCCTCCATTTTGCCCGTCCTGCTCTAATTCTGTGGGTGACATCTTTCTCAATTTACATGTCAGATACTCTATTTTTGGTCCTCTGCTTATTTTAAAACCTCTTGTTTCTAAAGCTGTTAAAATAGCTGAATCATTAGTCAATTTTGTTCTTTCAATATTCAAAGCACATAAAATCCACAACTTGTGTATAATGTGTGATCAATTTAAAACATATTACAGATTCAGTAGCTGTTTTTGCCTGCTTGATGGCAATTTTTGGGCTACTTCAAAGTTCGGAGTCACATCGGCAGTGGATTTGGTACTCCTGCTATTGTGGCATATTACTAGCAGTCTTCTGGTTATATTACATGCTGAGGTAAATCAAGCATCATGAGTGTCTTTTCTCTTTCAGATTTCTTATTTCTTTAATTATCATGTAATAAATAAATTAATCTGTTTAGAAAAATGAAATACATTGCGAGAATTTTAGGAAATCAAGGAGGCCTATTGTTGACCTCTCTATCAATATGTGCCACTTCATTTGATCCTTAACATCCATGTGCACACACACACACAGACACTTAAAGGACATTCTGTGTTTAAACATGTTCATGGAGCCATATGATCATTCTGAATATGCAAAACTAAATCCCCTTGTTTGTTCCCCATGCCTTGTTTTGGTATTAATGAAAGATGTACATATCCTCGGTTGGATTTCTTTGTTAGCTCAGTCTGCCAAAGTTTAGTTCTTGTTTTATTTTTCCTTCTTATGTGGTTTAATTAAAATATACCCCATTGGCCATTGTATGATAGGATGCCAAAGTTCCGGTGGGATATAGTATGGCTTCCATTTGGGCCTTTGAGGTACCATCTCTATCCATCCATGTATGTGTATATATCTCTCCATCTCTGCATGGGTACTGTATATGTTACTTATCGTTTACTCATTGAGATTGCAGTGCTGCTGGAATCTGCCTATATGTGGACCATCTACTTACTGAGTCATCTAAAGAAGTAAGAAAGCTACGTAACTACATGTATGCCTACAAAACCACCTAACAATTAAGGTCGAGATTTTGATCCTTCCGCTTCGACTTTGAGAAAGATAAAATAGTTGTTTCTGAACTTGAGTAGTGGATCCATTTAGCAGCATTGAACTATTGAAGGGTTTTTAGTAGTGGATCCATCTGCACCATAAGGAGTTCCTGCCAACCTTTTCTTGGTTGCTGGCATTCACTGCTTCATCCTTGAACATACTCCATATATGACCTCCCCTGTATATAAAACTGATTAATGGAAAATTGAGCATTGTAGATTTTTTTTTCCTTTCCTGGATTGCTTTTTGTTGTTGTAGGGAAATTGATGGATTGAATGTAAAGGCGGTTGATTACTTAAATTATTGAGTTGGAGGTGGTTTATTTTTGAGACTACAAAGGGCGTGCCCTCATGGAGCCCAACATCTTAAGTTGATATATGCGTCTTCTATTTGTCCAGAGTGATCTGTTTGTATCAGGCCGTATCAGCAAATTGACCTGATGCAATCTCAGTTTGATATAAAATTAAAAACTAAATTCTACTATGCAGAAACCTCTTTTTTTAGATTCTACTTCAACACATGTCCTATTTTGTGCCATATGATCGGGAAATACAACCATCTTTAATTTCTATCTGCTGCTCTGTTTTCACTTTTCACTTTTCATCAGCGATCCAGTGGTTTCGCTTACCAAAATTTTGAAGTTTGAATGGAGTTATTGCTGGAAAATGCAAGGTTCAAAATATCGATACGTCCGATACGCTGGTAGGGTGAATTGATATCCTTTTTTTTATTTTATTTTTTGTTTTTTTTTCAAAACCAGTTCAGGGGGGCAGTTTAGAGCTCTTCCACCCCCTGAACTGGTCAGAGGTGTATCAGAGGGGTCTCAGAATGATACGTATCGGCCAATACGTGTTGATACTTTGAACCCGATATAAATAATAGCTGAAATTTGTCATATGAAAAATTTTACATCAAACATTCTCTGCGACAATCGTGTAGCCTGTTCTTGTTTTAAAGAATTTGCTTCCAGCATCGAATATTATAATGTGTTTTGTATGTAAAGGTTTTAAATATCAACACCAACACCTGTCTCAATTTATTCACGCTGTTCAGTCTTCAGACTTCATATCTAACTCCTTATTAATGATCAACTAATCTGGCTTGTATCTGGGCCTGCTATCAATTTCAATAACTTGGAATCAAATTTCTGGATTTGGCTTACCTAAATAAATGTCTACGGTTCCACCCCTCCAGGTGCTAAATATTTGATTTCAGAAAAGTAAACAACCTCTTTAGTGTCAGTTACACGTACTCTCTTCTCTTTGATGTTGCTTGCTTTTAGTTTGTTTCCTGAATTGAATAAAGGTTCCGTGTTGAATCATGGTTCACTCTTGTTGGGCATTTCACCAGTTCATTACGTGTAGTACAACTTCACTTTCTCATTCTTTTAGTCTGGGAGTTAGGCACTTGGGTGGGCATTGTTAGTAGGTTGCTTTCAACAAATAACCAACAGGAAAGTTAAATGTCATTGCATGTTGATCTTGAATCCAAGAGAAACATCACTGTGGGTGTGCCAATAGGCCCAATACTACTCTCTCTCTCTCTCTTTATATATATATATATATATATATATATATTGTTTTAAGATACTGATTTTCAAGAAGTTTGCTAAGTTGCTCATGAGAAGACTACAATGGATTGGGCACAAAGATCATTGAAGAGGGTGAATGATTCACTGTTTTTTTAAAGAACCTCTCCTAGGGCTGTTCATAAGAAGGCCCAATCCGACCAAACCGACCAACCCGGACCAACCCAACCCAAGTCGGCCGGGTTATCTTCAGCACCAGTCGGTTTCAAGTTGTAAAACTTCATAAACCGATGGTTCGGGTTGGTTTCAGTTTTCTTGTGTGAAAATCGAAACCGACCCGAACCGAATCGACTTAATAGTTAGATTAATGATTGTAATTAATTGTCCTGAAGTCTCCCTACAGAATTCACCCAAATCCCAATTAAGACAATTAAACTTCAAAATGAATATATAATCAAAGGGAAAGATTGGTGGTTTTGGAGATAAAACTTAATTACTGAAAAGATATATAACATATATACCTCTATAATAGGCATTATTATTATATATGGGTTTTGCTCTTCTTCTCCTCTCCAAAGTCCAAATTGTGGACTAGAGGTATATCCTGTTTATCAAAAACAAGGCTTTTCCCACGTTCACTACCTCACATATTGTGGTGCCACAGTCCCCACATATATATTGCAGTTGAGTTTCTGTCAAGCAAAACCGACCCAACCCGACTCAAACCGACCAGGTTGGTTTTGCTTAACACTGGGTCGGTTTCGATTTCAAGTTCAGGTAACCCGATCAGGTCGGGTCGGTTGGAAAAACCTCAATAAACCGACCCAACCCGACCCGTGAACAGCCCTACATTTCTAGTTAGAGCTGTTCATGGGCCGAGTAGCCCGATGACCCGGCCCGCACCCCGATCGGGCTTGGTCATGTAATTAGGCCTGCGGGCCTAACCTCGGGCCTAACACAGTAAGCCCGATTGTGTTTCGAGCCGGGCTCAGGATTTGTCAAAAAAGCCTGGCCCGACTCAGCATTATATATTTTATAAAATATATAATATGTATTTTATATATTATATATTATATAAAATATATAAATAATATAATATTTATTAAAATATATATTTATAATTTAATATATACATTTTTTATTCTTTTCTTTATAATCTCTCTCTCTCTCTCTCTCTATTCAGCCGCTAACAGTATGGGCTAAATTTCGGTCTCGGCCCCAGGCCCGAACTTCGAGCTTTTTATGAGGGCTGGGCTCGGGCCTTAGAAAATTATATTAATACAGAGTGAAAACCCGGCTCGAGCCCAGCCCGGCCCGGCCCATGAACAGGTCTATTTCTAGTTCTTACAGACGTTGCTACCATTATCTGAATGTGGCTGTAGTTCTATTTTATGCCCATTTGGGAGGCCTTTCATGCAGCAGCTACTGGCATTACATGAGCTTAGGAACCTGAAACGCCGTGACCGCAAAATCGACTTTCCAATAAAGCTATGTCAGATAGCTCCTCCAAAGCGGCTCTGTCAACGCAGCTCAATCATCTCAGAAGCCCTCCCAAACGGGCTCTTCTTCAATGGCATCACTTTATAGATCAATGGTCTACAATTTGAATATTCCGTTGCATTAAAAAGTGTAATGGGGATCTGCCCTACTCTTTATTAATTAGGTTGATTTAGGTCTGGAGACTGCACTACCCTGAATAAACCTTTTCACCGGTTTCTACATAAGTACATAACTAACAGATAAGGATATGGTTTCTTCATTTGGGGCGCTTCCCATCATTTTCACAGATTTCGTGCCGTCAACAAAAGGAGAAAGAGAGGATAGCTTCGGCTCAACTCCTCAACTTGACCGACCAAAAACTAGAAAAGCGACACTTCACGGGAGGAGACCCTTGAAATTTGATCATGATAATTTTATTATAAAAAATGTCTGAACCATCTAGTCAAAGAAAGGACGTGGCGTGCGCGAATTATTGGATTATTTGCAGAGTAAAACTGTAAAATTGATTTTTTAGGTAATTTCTCCTGCTAACCTTTTATTTTTCTTTTGGGCTGAGCATCCATGCTTGTGCTTGCGATGTTGAGTTCAAAAGCATAAAATAAGAAAGCTATTACTGAAAATTGATTACAGATTTGTATGTGGGTCTGTTCAACAATGTGGCTACCTGTGAGTTCATTGTGATGCAGCCATGGAGGATCCACGGCATTTTTTGAGAACTGGTACCATGTGCCATGGCTATTTCACCCAATGGGTCGGTGATTAATGGGTTTCTCTGATAGAGCTCATTGAACCTTCGGCCTTTGGAGAAGAAGAGAGAAAAATGTTCTGAGACAGAATTGTTCATGTCATCTTTTCTCCTGCAAGAAGAGGCAGACAACGGTGCAGTCATCCACCTTGGATGAAGGGAACTTGTATCTCCATTTGGTAACAGCTGCATCAACCACTGCTTTTGCTGCTGTCTCTCTATTCTCTGCAAACCACAGAATTGACGCAACTTGCTTGACACTGAGTACATCCCATACCTGCACCACCCCGACTTATACAATCAGTCTATCAAACACTTGAAGAAAACAGAACGAACAGAAGTTGTTGGGTCTCAATTTTTCAATTTGTTGAGGTTGAGGAGCTGCTTTACCCCGTCGGTAGCAAGAACAAGAAATTGGTCGTTCACAGTTAAGCGATGATAGGAAATCTTGGGGATAGAAATTATGCCATAGTTCTTCAGCTGGAAGTCTCCAAATGCTCGTGTCATGGCAAGGCCAGGAAAGTTATCATTAGGCAGCCATACACGTAGAGTGTCTGGTTCGTTCCTCAGTGCGAATATCCGACCATTGTTCTTCTTTATTCTTTCGGCTTCACCTGCATATCAGCTACCATCAGTGGGTCGATACCATCTAGTCAGGGAAAACGTGCTTGTGCAAGCTTGCTCTTGCATGAAACACAGAAAGATCACTGAACATGTGAGCTTAATTGGTTCTAGGCTGCTCATCAGATGATTAGTTCATCCTGCACAATGAAAATGGAGAGAGAGAGAGCTCTTACTGGGTAAGCTAGGCTTTAAGTCAGTTGTGAGTTGAACAACCATAAGCCCATTTTCAGTCAAGGTTCCCAACATCGCCCTTGAGTCACCAAGATTAGCAATGACAAGATCTTCTCCCTGAGTAGTTTCGTCAGACAAGTTAATAAGAAAGAAATCCACAGATCCAAATAAATCTCCCAAACAGAAGTTCCTAAATTGAACAAAGCAATCTGATAATAAATTCAGAAAGACAGAAACCATATATTCATACCTGTTTTATGATGGTTACTGCAGTTGTCCCACTGGTAGAGCAATCCAATTTCTCATTAAGCTTAAGCTCTTTGTCCATCACCTTGAAAGCACTGAGATAGGCTTCTTTCCATTCATGAAATACCTTGTTGGACATCAATTTACTGTCTGACTCTAATCTGTCCTCTTGATCTCCACAGTCTTGGTCTCTAACAGCCGTATCAAGCACTGAGAGAGCATTCTTTCGGTCGAGCAACAACGACGGCAAGCGATTTCTGACTATCTTGCTGATTATGTGGCCATTCTTTCCATGTCCATCAAACACTCCACAAAAAACTCCATCTTCCCCTCCATATCCCTTCAGTTTGAAATAGCCCAAGGCATTATCAGAGAGTTAGGACTAAAAATTAATAATCATAAACCATCTTATGATCATCCACTCAATGAATTAACTCTGTTCAATCTATAAACAGAATTGTTTTCTCATTAAATATACTCTAAATGCTTTCAAGAGAAGAAATCTACTTGAAAGAATGAAGACTGTTTATAAGCCAAAGATGCCATCTATTCGCATAACCAAGGTAACTGACAGAAAACCAGAAATAGCAGAACCAAGTCATGAAATTCCCCCAGTTGATCATACAATATTGAAACGATTTTCAGTAGAACCCAAGTTATATCAGTTAGAACAGAACCGAATCTATAAGAAAAGGAAAAAAAGAGAGAAGCTTTATTCGTCGTGCTGAAGAAATTTGGGAAAGAAAGAAAAGGAGGCACTGCAGTCATGAATCATGATCGACAGATCTTAAGATAAACAAATCCACATGTTTTGAGAGAACCCCATAACTGTATACCTGAAAGAGAATAGCAGCATCTTGGTTTGGTCCTTTACTCCCTTGTTGCGAATGAAAAGAATCAAGCTTGGGAATTTCTTCGTTTTGTAAACTATTTTGAATGACTACCACATTATCACTGCCATCCTCGGCTTTGTGGGTCTCCGAAGATGCAGTGGATACACAGATTCCCATCTCAGTTGATAAATTTCTCTTATTCTTTGCACTTTTAAGAATCCAACCGAAGATGGGAAAAACAGAATCTTCTCTCCTCTGCACCAAAGGACCCAGGGTGCTTAAGCTGACAAGAGATATTCAGTGTGGAAAAGGCTCCCAGTGATCAGAAAACAGACCTCCCTATCAATAATTGACGCTTTCTTTGGCAGTTGGGTATTATTAATGGATAAGTTCAGGATTCATCAGAAGGCCATATGAAAGGCAACCCATCTTGGATTGACATCTCTAAACATTAAAAAACCACAAAATCTAGTGGCGCCCCTCTTGCATGTGCCATGAACAGTTCTTTCTTCTTACCTGAGTGAGCCCCACCGCGCATGGTTGAGCTTTTCTGTATCGGTGGAAACTGTAAGGTAGTGGGTGGTTTAATCAAGGTGATGCACTTTCAAAGATAGGGAATGAAAGGGATGGGTTATTAGTGGTGAACATTCCGTCAACCTCCAGGGAGAAGAGTTGGATCATTATTCACAAGGAATTTAATTCTACCATTACACTGTTGGATCGTACCCACAGAATCTCCTAAGCTGATAATTAAACCGAAAGAATGCGACATGTTAGGAGATTAGGATGATCAGACTGATTTTTTTTTTCCACTTGGATTTCTTCATGTGGGATCCTTGTGATGATCGGTCAGATTCTCTTAATGTATGGAGCTTAACGGTACCTGTATGCTGTATGGCTCAAGACCTGAGAATGATTATCATTTATTAATTTATTAATTGTTGTATTAATTGCCTTTTAATACAACAAGAGAGAGAGAGAGAGAGTCAGCGTCTAATAAATTCTAAGTTTTCTAACTAAAAAATAGAAAGAAAAGAATAGTGCATGCAACTTGAGTTATTAATCTATAATTTATAGCTATAATTAGATTATCAAGCTACAATTAGGTTAAATGAAATGTAGAAAGTAATTAAGCACCATTCCATTGCTTTTTCATTCCAACTTGCAGATAATTCTTCAGGATTCTTCATGGTGTTTGCAATATTTGGATTATAGAAACATTCATTTGTTTCAGATTATTTGGATCAGACCCCATAAACGGCCTCCGCATATTGATCAACACAGTCAATATGCCTGGGCAGATGATATGGCTAAGGCAAAATACTAGCTTAGAGCTTTGAAAAATTGAAATCATCTTTACTCTTTTAAATAAGAAGCGCTGGAGATTAGTTAAAAGGTTAATAGCCATGAACTCATCTACGTCAGAAGCAGCTGCAATGTTTAATAAAGAACTCAATTAGAAGGCCAAGTCTGCTGGCCTGCTATATACTATATACTCTGAGTCTATACTAAATTTTAGATAGATAGATAGATAGAGAGAGAGGGGGAAGAGAGAAATTAAATAATATTGGGCTATTGATGAATGATCACAGTTTCTTTTTTCCTCACTTCCCTTTCAGTCTATTATGAATTCCTTGCTTACTATTGCCAACCAATAATGATCAATTTTTTATAGCATTTTGATCTTGTCCAAGTATGTTGACATTCGCAAGTCTAAAAGTTGGTGGGAATGCATAAGATCCCTGGTTCTAGACTCAATAAATGTATTCAAATAAACTGATTGACCACTATCCCCGATTAGAAAATTAACAATTGTGATTATGTTGTTTGGGTCATCAATCAGCTATTTGTAGTTAATTCTAATAGTTACTATTCACTTCTCCAATTTCTGGTTGGAATGATGAATCCTAGCTCAACCCAACAACCCATATTTACCTCTGTTTCACTTGCTTTGTCTATTAATGTGGTTCAGTGAAGGTGTTAAAAACCGGACCAGACAGGAACCTTTTTTGGCTACTGGTTTCTAGGTCAAATGGTCCGACAGTCTGGTTCAAATAGACAACCTGTTTTGGTTTTAAAAAAATAAAAAATAAAAAAGGCCAAAACTGTTGTTGGGGTTGATTGTTTGACAGCCCGGGTTAACAGGTCATTGACCAAATCAACAGTTTTTTACTCAGAAACAGTTTTAGGGTGAAAAGGAATTGGTTGCCTGACCAGTTCCCAGGTCAACTGGATCGACCGTTCGGCCCGGTCTGGTTCTCAAAAGCATGGGTTCAGTTAGTTTTTTCCCCACTAACTATTAAGACATTGATTTAAAATTTAGCTTGGAACATTCTAGTGAACTTAAACTGGCCTTAATCCCAATTATCCATTAAAAAACAAAAATATGATATCCATTAAACTGTCCATCACTAAAGGGCAGTCCAGTGCACGAGGCTCCCGCCAATACAGGGTCAGGGGAGGGATAGGTGTATTCAACCTTATTATCCATCACTAAGTAATAAATGAATTTCTCCCAATGTTGAATTTGATTAATCAAATATGTTCACTTAGTTTCCCATATAAGAACAGAGGAAAATGTTCGCTTTCGTAGTACCCGTTTGGGATGATTCTCGGTATCCCTTCCTGCTTTTTTGGCTTTTATGGATTTTCAGCCACATAAAAACAAAAGGTGACATTGAGTGAAAAATATATGGAGAGAGAGATGAAATTGCCTCTTAGGCTCAATTTGAAGGAGCACAAATGTAAATATATAAATGTAAAATCTTGTATTTTGTATGTATTTGTACTGTACATATTTATATTTGTACTCTTAAGTCTTCCACTCTTATCTTAATTTTACTTTAGGCTGTGTTTTGTTTGATGGAAAAGGTATTCCTTTCCCTACCTTTAGGCTGTGTAAGTGTGTTTTATCTTTTATTAATGACAAAAGCGCCAAAGTGTTCAGCAATGGTTTCTTCACTCTTTTCAGCTGTTAAATATTGCCTGCTATTTTAAGCAGCTCAACTTACGCTTGAGCCCTCCCTAAATAGGCCCTTAGTATGTAATTCTCCCTTCAGAGTTGTTTTTTCTGGGTTTTAAATTGGATTTGGATTTTATCCCAATTTCATTATATTAAAATAGAGAAAAAGATAGTAAATTAATCACTTCTTAACATATAAATAGAGAATAAACCTATATAAATAATGAATACTGAATTTATTAGTTATAGATTTAAATAATCATATATATTATCTAGAGGTATAATTTGGGTCATGTTGGGTTGAGAGTTGTCAAATTCTCAATGGGCTTGAACCATAACCCAAGCCCAATATAGTCGGGCAACCCAACTTGTAGCCCTAATATTGCCCATGTATAATATCATGTAAAATTCAATTGGATTGAATAGGTTTTGATGAGGGCAGATTTGGCCCTCCAGTGAAATTGTGACACATGGCACCTCGTGACAACTAGGTAAACACCCAGGCAAACAACTTACCAAGTTGGTGTCCCACCCGGGCACCGGTCTGSCTGGCCTGGCGCGACCTGCACRCGGCCTAGCGCGGCCCGCGCGGCCTGCGCGCGACCTGGCCGGATCATCCTGGCACATGATCCGACCTGGCAACCTATAAGACGCCCACCGAGAACCATTAACGGCATACCCCGTGAGCTCGGTAGCTCACCAAAGAGCTCGCCAAGGAGCTAGGCAGCTCTCCAAGGAGCCAGGCTGCTCGGCATAGCTCCCCCGGGCTTCTCGCCACTTGTAGGGTAGCTCGGCACAGAAGAGTAGTTTGGCGTATCGCAGGAAGATCTCCTGCCTTACAACCTGGCCCAGACATCGACCCACCGACTGACACAGGCGCCGACCTGGCAACCTGGCCCGGACACCGACCCACCGACTGACACAGGCGCCGACCTGACAACCTGGCCCAGACACTGATCCGCCGACTGACACAGGCGCCGACCTGATAACCTGGCCCAGGCGCCGACCTGGCCGCCTAACACAAGCGCTAGCCTAACAACCTCGAGGAGTTCATCACCGTACCCCAGTTCTGACGGGATATGACGAGTCTTACCGTTTGAAGGTTTTTCACCCACCTAACCCGCGAGGACACCACTATATAAGGACTCCGACCCCCAAAGCCAAAGAGGGAGGGAAAAAGGATGGTAACCCCTGCTCTCTAACTCTCTCATTTCTCTCCAAGCTCTCTTTAATCAGAATGCTAACTTAGGCATC